CCCAGAGATCGCTCAAGACATGAAGTCATGCCTTTTTAATCAATAATCGAGATGAAACGGGATCGGATTGAGTAAGTCGACAGTGTGCTGCAGCGACAGGTGGCTTTGATATGGTGATATCAAAGTTGAAGGAATGTGGCCATTGTTGCGCTCGATCATTAGTGCTTCAGGTAACACGGCTCGCTTTTCTCAGACGGACGATTGTTCTGCGTGGGGGACGGAGATCATAATGCCGTTCGCCATCGCTCAACTTACAGATCCACAGAGAGCGTTCGCTGATCTCCAACTGATCTGACAGACTTCTGGAGGACAGAGGGAATCTGAGCTCCTTTGATGATCAGACTGTTGTTATCAAGCCAAGGGTTTTGATGATGCGTCGGGTTTGAATTGATTGGAGCCCTTTTATGGGTGTAGTACGCATGCTGGTGTGTAACCCAAAAATGGTAAAGTCTAAAATCTGTGGCGTGCCAAGACTACATTTTTAATTATTGTTGTTAAGATAAATATAATCAATAGGAGTTTTACAGCTTTACATTTGACTTTAAAATAAGAATCTAAAAAAGTTTGGTTTAGAAACAATCATGCTCGAAAAACTAAAATAAATATATATTAGGGCTGCATTATATTGGTAAAATCTGATATTGCGACGTTTTATTTTTCTGTGATAAATATTGCGATATGAACACAGTCTCACAAGATCCAAGAGCACTATCTGACAGTTTTCTGGGGAGTCTAACAATATTCAGGTACAGAGATTGAACAATCACAATGCAATAAATGTTTTTTTTTATTACTTTGTCTCGTTTTTAGCACACGTCTAAAATTTCTAACAAGTGAAATGTAATGTAATGTAATGTAATGTATATTTATATAGCGCATTTATTGTGTATGGCCATACACCCAAAGCGCTTCACAATCATGAGGGGGGGTCTCTCCACACCACCACCAGTGTGCAGCATCCACTTGGATGATGCGACGGCAGCCACAGGACAACGGCGCCAGTGCGCTCACCACACACCAGCTATTGGTGGAGAGGAGAGACAGTGATACAGCCAATTCGGTGGAGAGGGGATGATTGGGAGGCCATGATCGTAAGGGCCGATAGAGGGACTTTGGCCAGGACACCGGGGTTACACCCCTGCTCTTTCACGAGAAGTGCCTTGGGATTTTTAATGACCACAGAGAGTCAGGACCTCGGTTTAACGTCTCATCCGAAAGACGGATGAAATGATAAGCCAGTGGGGTAAGTAAAATAATCTGGCTTTTGCTTGAAAATGTAGGTATTTGGACTAGAACAAGACACAAAATTCAAAGTAAGAAAAACATTTATTTCTATAATTTAGATTCAATATTGCATATGTTGCAATGTGACTATTGCGGGTGAGCACACTGCAATATCAATGCTGAAACGATATATTGTGCAGCCCTATATACTGTGTACACACACACGCACGCACCCTCTCTCCCTGTCTCTTTCTCTCTCTCTCTGTCAAAAGTTTGGGGTCAGTTTTTTTATTATTAATTTTATTAATTATAAAGCGCTTTTACAATGTAGATTGTGTCAAAGCAGCTTCATATAAATGGTCATAGTAACTGGATCAGTGTAGTTCAGTTTTTAGTGTTTAAGTTCAGTGTTTTATTGTTTAATTTATTTTAATTAAATAATTAAAATAAAATTATTCTGTTCATCAAAGCGGCATTTATTAAATGTATAAAAAATTGTTAAATAATTATTTAATAAATGTTTATTTATTACTTATTGTATGTAGTTTCAAATGAAACTATTACTTCTGCCATTATTGCTGTTATTAATAATAACATTAATTTTAATAGTAATAATAATAATTATTATTAGTGATTTCTGAAGGATCATGTGACTCTGAAGACTGAAGTAATGAAGCTGAAAATTCATCATTAAAATCACTGGAATAAATGATTAAATTAGATTATAAACTACTCTTGAACAGTTATTTTATAGTGAATAACATTTCACAATTTTTAGTTTTAGTAATGTATTTTTAATGTAACAAATGCAGCCTTGGTGAGCAGGATAAGCTTATTTCAAAACATTTAAAAATCATACTGACCCCAAACTTTTGACCGGCAGTGTGTGTGTGTGTGTGTGTGTGTGTGTGTGTGTGTGTGTGTGTATATATATATATATATATATATATATATATATATATATAAATATATATATGTATATGTGTGTGTGTGTGTGTGTGTGTGTGTGTGTGTGTGTGTGTATATATATATATATATATATATATATGTCTCCCACACAGAGAGAGATATATAGAGGGGGTGGGTGTGTGTGTGTGTGTATATATATATATATATATATATATATATATATATATATATATATATATATATATATATATATATATATATTATTGTTGTCAAAAGTCACTCTTAGCGGTGTTGAAGAATGCACTCAACACTGCTCAAAAATGAGTAGGAAATGGACGTTTTTAAAATGGCTGTCCGATTAGTACCAAAGTTGATACTTGTGACAACAATAATACATTGTTATTGGCTGTTTTCACAAATATGCAAACGTGGATCATTTTTGTAGTTGTAATACCGCAAATTACAATTAGACTAGTGAACTAAAGAACTACAACACCCCAAAAACCTAGCAACAACAACAAAAAGTATTTAAGTGAGCATTAGATGTAACGTTACATGGACATCGCAAAAATAAGACCTGTGCAAAAATATTTAAGACCTAGAACAGCAAATTTAAGACTTTTTAAAGCCATAAATTTCGATTTTTTAATTTAAGACTTTTTAACAGTTTTTAAGACCCCGCGGGGACCCTGCTATAAACTGCCACAGGTCATATTTTCCACTACACAATGAGAGATTACTAATTCTGAAATTGATTATTTAATTTTAATAATTGTTATTTTATTTCAGTCAATGAAAATGTTTTTAACCAATAGATTTAGTCTGTTTTCATTTGATAAAATATCCTTGGCGTGTGCATATTAACACACAACATTGGAGGAGTATGTTGTAGTGTTGTTGTTGCTCAAGGGTTTGCTAATGCTTCATCAGCAAAAAGTGGAGTTACCTTACAATTCAACCAAATGCAGAGACAGTTCATCCACACACAGCAAACTCTACATACACACCAGAGTCGTGCAAGGATTTTTGTTTTCCACAGGGCAATTGTTGCACGCTTTAACTTTTATTGTAAATTTATTGTTTTGTTAGTATATTATTATATGTTCATAGTTATTATAAAGCATGCTGGATGTGTTTTTTAAATATTCTTTATCATATTGTTTTTGTCACTGTTGCAGGTTTGTGCGCTCTTCCGGAGTGTCTGTTTGATCATGTGGGTTTGTTTTGGTTTTGTTGCCCATGTGTATTTGTTTTGGTCACGTGTTATGACGGCACTCAGTTGGTTTGATTAGTTCGCCAGCTGAGGCTCATTATCGTGCCTATATATGTGCAACGTTTTGTCACAAACAAAGAATGCTCAGATGGATCCAAGTGCAAGTGAAAGATAATATTTATTGACACAGTCAAGATAAATGTAAAGAGTGTGTGCGGTGCTAGGGCTAAGAGAAACCAGAGCAGGGATCAGACGGGAAAACAGGGTCCAGAGGTAACTGAGTAAAGACAAATGCACACATAACGAACTGACAAGGAAACACAGAAAACGTTGCACATATATGGGCACGATAATGAGCCTTAGTGCCTGAGTGCCGTCATAACTAGGGTTGTAACGGTATGAATTTTTCACGGTATGATAATCGTCTAAAACAATACCACGGTTTGACGGTTTCGCGGTATACGGTATGTTACAAATGTTACAAAATAACAGAACAGTGAAGCAAATTTAACTTTTTCAAAATAATATATTTTTAGTTACTATAAACAACACCACTTACAATGAACAAATAAAAAAATAAGAAGATAATAAATAATGTGTCAAAGTCCCAATAAAGTCCAGATAAACATGGTGCAAATCCTCAGAAAAAAATAGATATAAATATTTACTATACTATAAATAGTTACATAACGAAACTAGATTCAATATGGAACATCCTTAGGTTTTATGTGCCAGCATGGATATGGTTGTCTGTGGATATGGATTTGGATATGGTTGTCTGCAATGCAGACAAACAGCTGCACCTTCATTTGCGTCTTTTGAAAACAGCAAGAGCAGCAGTTCGTCTTTGCTGTGTCAATGTTTTGTCATGTTTCTGTGCTGCTGTGCATGCAAAAGTACTTAGTATGAGAATCATTTCATGCAAAACTTTTTTTTTGCGTTTTATTTAGCCGCGCATAAATGTATGCCTATCTCTCATTCTGTGTTGTTCAAAATGCTCATTGTTTGGTCCACAAACAAAAGCGAAACCTATGCTTATTGGTTGTGATATAGCGAGTCTGAACCAATCTGGGCATGGAGGAGGGACAATGCATCAATGTATCATGTCTGGTTTGTCCGGAGACACAGTGACGAGCGTTTCTTTGTCAAATCAGCGTGGTCAAATTTTGATGACGTAACCGCACTGATTCCGGAGCCTCTGAAAGTCCCGGAATGTTATATGATACAGCACTGGAAAGCTGAGATTCTCTTCTTTATGCCAATCTTTGAATTGTATGAATCGGATCAGCGGATCAAAAGTTATTAAACATTTAAAAGCAATACTTATTTTTAGCCGCGGGCGGCTGTCTCGGTCTTTAAGGGTTAAAACCGTTGATATGCAATTGTTCATGGTATGATAATCGTGCACGTTCAAATCGTGGTAGACCGTCATACCGGTATATTGTTACAACCCTAGTCATAACACGTGACCAAAACAAATACACGTGGGCAACAAAAACAAAACAAACCCACATGATCAAACAGACACTCCGGAAGAGCGCACAAACCTGCAACCGTGACAGTTTTAGTATGTGTTTATTGTGTCAGATTGCTACTGCCCTAATCTAATTGTCCCTGGTGGGATTAAAAAACTTAAACTTAAAGATGAACTTACTTGTGACCTCCTGCAGGAAGTCCAGACAGGGCCGGCTGTTGTCAGACATGCTAACAGAAACGGCGACCGGCGTCTGGCCCTCGTAGTTCCTCATGTTGGTGTCAGCTCCGTACGTGTAGAGCATCTGCGCGCACTGCACATCGTCTCTGAGGGCCGACAGGTGCAGCGGCGTCTGCCCGTCCTCCAGCCGGCCCAGGTTAGTGTCGGCCCCGCGCTGCAAGAACATGCGGCAGTACGAGTGGTTGCCCTTAATGACGGCGTAGCGAAGCAGGAAGCCGTTCTGGATGTCGATGTTAGCGTTGTGATCCAGCAGGATGCGCACGCAGCTGGAGCGCTCGCGGATGATGGCGAGCTGGAGCGGCGTGGTGCCTTTGTCGCTGAGAGGATCCACCTCGGCTTTGAACTCCAGGAGGAGCCGCACAAAGGAGTCGCGGCCGTAATGAGCGGCCACATGCAGAGGTGTCCAGCCGTCGTTGCTCTTGGCGTTGATGATGTCGCTGCGGTACTCAGACTCCAGCATGAGGCGGGCGATGCGGGCGCGGCCATGCATGGCAGCGTAATGCAGAGCGGTGAAGCCTCCAATGAAGTCTTTCACGGTGGGATCCGCTAAGGAGGACAAGAGGAAGATGAACAGACGACTAGATTGATTAAACTGAACAAAAAGATATAGAATTACATATTTATTAGGCCTAAAAATAGAAATCCTATAATTTATATGACCTTATTTGGTACAATAAAGCATTTTGAGAACATAAAAAATAGCTCAAATTCTATCAATAAAACGACACGTGAAACTGGATTAGCATTTTATAATTAGTGCTGTTCTTCATATTTATATAATAAGTAGGGGTGTCACGATTTCGATTTTTAATCGAAATCGATCGAAATTTATGCTCGATTTCGATTATCTAATCAAAAAATAGAATCGTTGATGCTGCCACGCCCCCATGTCACGTCAGCTTGACTTGCCAAGTGGGAAAAAAACAGCTTGTTGAAGTGCTTGCTAAATGGCAGAAGCAGGAGACCCGTCGACAGAACTTAAACCCTCTCCTCTTTCAATGAAGTCGCCGGTGTGTAAGCATTTTGGATTTCCACTGAGTTATGTTGACAACGTTCGTGTTGTCGACAAAAAAAACACAGTTTTGCAAGCTCTGCTATGTACGTATTACGTACGGTTCGTCCGATAGACAACACCGGCATAGCGATCCTCCGCCCGCATCCGTTGCAAATCCGCTCGTGAAAAGTACACACTCAGGCCCTGTTTACACTGTCTTTGTTTTTAAACGGCATTTTAGAACGACAACGATTTGACATCCACAGTGGCGTGTAGCATTTCTGAGCAGCCCTCCTTCCTCTCTACCTCTGAAAATGCACATCACGTGACCACACAGACGCACACACAGCCATGCGCTTGAGACAGCAGGTCCAGGCAGTCAGAGGACTGCTTCAGTCTTTCACTCACTTGTACTTAGTCATTTTAGCGAACACCTCAGATACTGTTGGCTGGTTCCTGTTGGTTGTGCGTCTTTTTTACCGACGCCATTATAACGACACAGATCACTGCCTATTCACGAGTCCCGCAGAAAAAGTGATTGACAGGTGGTAATTATGTGTGTATCTTGCCTTTATTTATTTACTGTATGATTTGTTTATGGGTAAAACAAAGACCATGCAGGTCAGGTAGTTTAAACGGTAGGCTACAAATAATTAATTGGTCATTAATTAAATAATTATTCATAATCGAAAATCGAATCGAATCGTGCCTTTAGAATCGAAAATGTAATCGAATCGAGGATTTGGAGGATCGTGACACCTTTAATAATAAGATAATATTTTTCAGATAAAATCAAGTAGCTGAAAGAAAAACAAATCGTATTATATTTTAAATGCAGAGCGGCGAAGCTTCCGATGAAGTCCTTCACTGTGGGATCTTCTGAGGAGGATGAGTGGATGAAACTAATCGCGGATGAACCCGACGAGACTAATATAACTGACTTAAAGCAAGCTTAAATCAGATGATGTAGAATAACATATTTAGTAGGCCTAAAAATGGATAGGTTATGATTTTTATGAGTTTTTTGGAAGAGCTTTTGGGACCGTTTCAAATTCTATCATTGTAAATGCCATGTGAAATTGGATCAATTAAATAAGCATATTATAATTACTGATGTTCTTGTTGTTAATATAATAAAGTAATCGGTTTTCTAATCGAAAGAAAAAAACGAATTTATTAAACTCAGGGTTCATACCCATTTTTACTACTATAATTCCAGGACTTTTCCAAGACTTTTCCAAAACTTTCAAGTGAATATTCATGACCTAATGTTTCATGTAATGTCTACGTACAAGTGGTTAATAAGAAAAAAATTCTAAATTCAAATATATTACAGCATATAAAAAAATAAGTGATACGGTAATATGGTATATCGCGGGATATAAAAATAGCAACGTGTCAGTTTCAATATCGTTATACCGTCATAAACAATGCATTTATATAGGAGACAAGTATAAAATATTATTTATTTAATGCCTAAAAATGCGCATGCGTGATTGTCATCATGGGACAGTGTGGAGGAAGAGAGAGAGAGAGAGAGAGAGAGAGAGAGAGGTGAGATAAGATGGCGAGTCGTGCACCAAGTGACCTGCTCTCGAAAAAGAACACAACCTCTGCAGTTTGGCAGTATTTCGGGCTTCGACCAAACAAGAATTGAGACGTGGTAAATACGAACTAGAGGACTGCATTCCCGCTGCTGTACCGCAGGAGCCACGGGACCCGACCAGATTTCTTGCGGTGCGGGAATAAATGTCCAAATAAAGCGAGCGAGCATGCGCGCTTCCACGTGGATGCTGTTTGTGTATGTGTGTGAATGAGAGAGAGCGTGATGCTGTGTGCCCCTTATTTGGTTGTGTGTGTATGTGTGTGAACGAGAGAGTGTGGTGCTGTGTATCCCTTGTTTGGTTGTTTGGTTATGTGTGTGTGTGTGTGTAAGAATCAGAGAGAGCGTGGTGCTGTGTGTCTATGTGTGTGTGTGTTATACAGACAGCGCATAGATCTCTAATATGAACGAGACAATTTGCAAATAGTGCAACAAACAGGTGACCGCAAACCTAAGGTCGCTTACAGTGTTGTAAAATGTGTGGGTCTATTAAGGGGCGAGGCTGCAGTTTTCTGTGTCTGTGTGTGTGTGTGAAGCGGAGAGGGAGAGACAGAAAAGAGGAGCGGCTTTTCGCAATGGGACTGTTTTCAGTGATGTTTCCTCTTTAGTGACTGATTTTGTTGTACCACACAGTGAGTAATAAATGATTGGGCCAAGTCTGAGCCTTACATCATAAATATTTTTATTATGCCTGGTACTACCGTATACTGAGGTAAAGTAGGGAGGAGGTTTGACGGTATCAAAATTTGGATACTGCCCAAGCCTAATATGTGATAATCTCTGTAGTTTATGCTTATTTTATACCTGTAAAATAGTTTTTAGAAAATATCTTGTGTGAACATTTTTAGAAATGTTGGCTTGTGTCTACTCAAGACTTGTTGAATTAGCACAAATGTAGCAACCACATTATCTTACCTCTGTAGCTAGAGATTGTTTCTGGACATGACACTCAAAATGTCTCTTGAATTACGATGAATGCAAGTGAAAGAGGTGAAGCTGAAACTGCAAGATGCTTTTTGCCTCAAACAGAGAATGTCAAGTGAAGGGATAGACATCGCAATTGTTTTTGAAATTTAAACAGAATTATTATCTCAAATGTATTCAAGATATTAGTTAAACATATTTCCATGACTTTTTCAAAACATTTTAGGTTTATTTATTTTTCCAAAACTTTTCCAGGCCTGGAAAATGCCTTGCCAAAATTCCATAATTTTTCCAGGACCGTATGAACCCTGTATATTTTAAAATAGTGCTGGGCAAAAATTAATCTTGATTCAAAATAATTTATTTTTGACATATTATATGTGTGCATTATATATATTTATATAATTTTTATCATATTCATATATACTTTGTCTAAATATAAATAAACTTTTTCTCATATACAGTTGAAGTTAAAATTATTAGCCCCCCTATTATTATTTCCCCAATTTCTGTTTAACGGAGAGAAGACGTTTTTCAACAAATTCCTTAACATGAACTTGAGTTTTAATAACTAATTTCTAATAACTGATTTCTTTTAACTTTGCCATGATAATGGTACATAATAATTGACTAGATATTTTTCAAGACACTTCTATATAGCTTAAAGCTTAAAGACTTAACTAGATTAATTAGGTTAACTAGGCAGGATAGGGTAATTAAGCAAGTTATTGTATAACTATAGTTTGTTCTGTAGATTATCGGGGAAAAAAAATAGGGTCCCACTTTATATTAAATGGCCTTAACTAATATGTAATTACACAGGAATTAATAGTTTGTTACAATGTACTTATTGTGTAAATACATGTATTTACTGTGTACTCATGCTTGATTAAATACATGTATGTAATTACATCTGTAATTAAATTTTGTAATTACATTTGTAAATACACTGTTGACCATCCCTTACACCTTAACCCACCCTTAAACCTACCCATACCACCAAACCTGTCCATAACCCAACCTCTATCCCAACTCAAAAGCACCACAAGTGTTCCCAAATACATTATAAACACAGTAAGTACATCGTATTTATTTTTTGATGTAAGTACACAGTAGTTAAGGACACTTAATATAAAGCGGGACCAAAAATAGCTTAAAGGGGCTAATAATTTTGACCTTAAATAGTTTTTTGAAAAATTAAATAAATAAATAAATAAGACTTTCTCCTAAAGAAAAAAAATACTACCAGACTTACTCTGAAAATTTCCTTGCTCTGTTAAACACCAATTGGGAAATATTTAAAAAAGAAAAACAATTTCAAAAGGAGGACTAATAATTCTTCAACTGTATATGCATGCATGCACGTGTGTATTTTTTATATACATAATAAACACACAGTACACACACATACATGTCAAAACAAACTTTTATTTTGGATGCGATTAATTTTTGCCCAGTACTATTTTAAAATATTAAATTTGACTTTTAATGCTTTTAAAATAATAATACTAAAAAATTATTGTTATTTACTTTTGAATAATTTTTTGCCATATGACTAGACTGATTAAACTAATTTCATAGCTATATATAATTTAATAAATCGCTTATTTATTAGGGCTAAAAAGGAAAATGCTATGATTTATATGACTTTTGGGGAAAGTGCAACCACATGAATATTCAGACATTGAATGTTTGGAAAAATAAATCAAATTCTAACATTATAAAACGTTATAATAGCTTTTCTTCTTAATATTAAAGATGCAGTAGGAGATATGCGATAATGTTAACCGGCAAGCATAAATCTCTGAAACACAGTCCCACCTCTGCCGTCCAAAGCCTTTAGTTGAAATCTGCATTTGCTGACAGTTTGAGCTATTTATTGGAATTATGGGAGATGTCAGCCAGAAACTATTTTAATTGGACGAACATTTTTTAGTTTTATGCCTTACCCAGAAAATAAAAATACATTTAGATCATTTACTTTAATCAATACTATTGGAATGTGAAGAGACTTTCAACCAGCAC